TCCTACAGTTTTGATGCTAGATATAAAATTTTAACTGAAATGTATTAGTCTCGGCAATACCTATCGATTGACCCAAAAAAAAGTTTGCCACGCCCACTTCAGCGCCCACAAACTTCAAAAAATTGTAAATATGAACGCGGATATCTCGGATATCTATCAAAGATAGAGAAATGGGATCTCAGGCTTAGATTCCGTTGCCTTGTACGCAGTGCCAGTTTGTTACGCGAATGTGCCACGCCCAATCTAACGCCCACAAACCGACCAAACCTGTGGGGCCCACAATTTTCATGCTATATACAAAATTTTAACTAAATGTATTGGTCTCGTCAATACCTATCGATTGATCCAAAAAAAGTTTGACACGCCCACTCTAACGCGCATAACGCTTAAATCTGTCTACCGCCCACATAACCGCATATTGAGATCACGGGTAAGTGGCGAATTTCAATCTCGCTTTGCTGCTTGCATACCTTAATTTCCCTTTGGCAACAATTTCTTGAATGTAAAAAAGCTTTTCTAAGCAGTATAAATATTTTCTAAAAAATAAAACAAGGAAGAACGCTATAGTCGAGTACCTCGACTATCAGATACCCGTTACTCAGCTAAAGGGACCAAAGAGAAATGGAGATATGCAAGCAGCAAAGCGAGATTAAAATACGCCACCTACCTAGCTCTTATAGTTTCCGAGATCTCAGTGTTCATCCGGACGGACAGACAGACGGACAGATGGACAGACGGACAGACGGACATGGCTAGATCGACTCGGCTAGTGATCCTGATCATGAATATATACGCTTCCTTCTGCCTGTTACATACTTTCCGACGAATCTAGTATACCCTTTTACTCTACGAGTAACGGGTATAATCATGTTCATTACATCTTAGTATTGTATGTATGCAATGAGGGCTTCTTAAATGTTGGTTGAATATTAAGTATTTGGGAGCATGTGCAACCTGTGGTTCGAGAAGTAACTGGCGTTATTAATGAGAACTGCGGGGGAGAGGATGGGGAATGTAGAAAATTTTGATTAGTTAGTAATGTATCTTCCTGAAAAAACTTACATTAATATTTCTCCGCCGGAGGGATCGAACCCGAGTTTTCCGCGCGAGCCAATGTGACACTTAAATTAGGTTTGGCAAACCTAGCATTGTATATATGTAAGTAGTGAATTTTACTTATAGCGCTCTGTACCATTCGCGATTTAGGTATCTATGCATTTTAATGCAATTTTCATATGTAAGTGTAATCATATAAGTTTATACTAAGGACCTTTAACTCAAATATTGTGTACATGTCTTAATTTGTAAATGTATAAATGATAAATGATATAACTTAATAACTGAATTTTATCGTTTATTATAGTTTATGATAGCCATTTCCTACATTTTAATAGCGCTTTCTTAATTTAGGGAAATTGCCTTGATTTCTAAAATTTAGAGCACATTTTGAGCGTACATATGTTATAAACAGGAACCCCTTGCAGAGCCAGCTAAGGAGTCACTTTCCACCCTATACGCAAATTGTATTGTTGTTGTGTACTCTTGTCGAGCTTCTTCACAAATGGGTTGAATTGACTTTAACTCCCTGTTAGCCCAACCCAAGTGAAGAAAGATGCTATTATTTTATCGGCTTTTTCATCGGTCTGCGGTGGCTTGGAATAATTGAATTTTATTAATTGGCGGCTTTGCCGGCGTCGAGTGGGTGTGAAAATCCCTTTGACTTGGCCCACTCCTCACAAACCTCCATTGTGGGCCACGTGGTGGTGTTTGCCGAAGTTTGCCGGAGTTTGCTGGGGTTTTTTCTTATCTATCCCGGCCACACACGTGCCAAAAAGTCACTGACGCCTGCCCGAAAATGATAAAGAGCATTCGAATTAGCCACCAAACTGCTACTAATTTGGTTTTGATGCTGGAAACTGTTGACTTTCCTCACTTTTTCACTCTCGGGCTTTTTTGATATGATGTGGTTTTATTTGATTGCCACTAATCGGATTTCGGGGGGTGGTTTTGGGTGAGTGTCGGTCGGACTGTGAGCGGGATTAGATCTGGGTTCCCAAGGCCCACCCTCTAATGCCCACGTGACGATGGCTTAAGAACCTGCTTATGAATACGGATTGCGATTAGATGGCAGTGATCTACTTCAGGTGGGCTGTAAGGGTACTTCATTTTCCCTTTGCCTTTGAAAATAATATTAAGGTTAAAAAAAAACCAGGAATTCTGTTGTCAAGTGTCTTAACAAGTATCATTCATTATACACCGAACATCCAATTTTAAACAAGATTGCTTGCTCCACTTAAATAAGTTTATCAACCCGTAAGCTGCACATAATATGTAGATTAAATAACCAAAGCATAAGGTTCCCTTTTCTTTCCATTACCTTGCGAAATGGGGCTTTCATTTAAAAGGAATTCGCGAAGCTAAGATGTCAGCAGGAGCTATGACGGAGGCACACCTCGACGTGGCTTACGGCCGCTTCCTACTGGCCACCGACTACGAGCGGAGACTGGAGCAGCACGAACGCCGCATCCTGGCCGGGAGCATGTCCCGTCGGCTGGTGCGGTCGCTTGCAAATCGTTGGACTGGCCGACTATGCACAGAAAAATGTGTTCCGCATCAGCGAGGATTGCCCCGACTGCATCAACATTTACGACAAACCGCCACTCCAGACTTGTTCCTTCTGAAGCCGGGATTCCATGGTCACTTTAACCCTACTCTTTCAGGATTCGAATCATGCATGCACTATTTATACTCATCTCATCAAGCTTTAGGGACAGGATTTGTTGGGAAGACAGATCCCTTGCGCTGTACAGTAAACCATTCACACCATTAGCTTTGTGAGCCCCTCCAGGAAAGCGATGCAGCTGCATTAGTGGCCAGTTTTGGAAGAGATGAGAGATCAGGATAGACAGAATGACTTTAAACATCAGGAGCATCCTGAGAGTCCCGAAAGGCTAGAACTAGTGGAAATGCCAGAACCAATATTACTGTCCCAAGTTGGTCCCATGGCAATGAAATATCTCCAAATCGAACTAAATCGAGCTCGTAGGTACATTGTCCCCGAGCGGCGTTACTTGCTCAATCCGTGGCCCTGTGATTTTTGAGATCCCACTTCGAAATTAAGAAATTATGAATTTAGTTTTTGATAAATTTGCCTGTGCCAAAAAGATGTCTTGTGAAATAAACGTCCGGGTCCTAACAACCCTTAGCGCTCTTGACAAAACTCCGCCTTCTAGCGCCTGCGCGTTACTTACTCCTAACCTCTTTTACCCTTACTCTTCTGAATTTTTTGCTGTGGTAATTAATTAGACAATTCGATTTTAAGGCGTGGAACAACGAGGAAAGGCCAGTTCTTGGTAAATGACAGAGGCGTTGAAATTTCAACGCCTTTGGGGTAAACTTTCTACTTAATCCCAGATTAAGATTATCATCTTCGAAGAGTAAAATAAAAGGTTGCAAACACTTAATGGTTATTTGCACTTGGAAACTCAATTTTAAGGAAATAAAATGAAACCAATTTTACCAATACCAACAAACCATATTTTATTTCAGAATGTATAAGATAGTTTATTTTTAAAAGAGTAATTGAGTAATTTAATCCATTACTTGAGTAATTGTATACCGATATAGAAGTGTGATACCTCTATGAATTTGTGTTCACATTTTTGTATAATCTACACTCAAATATTTCGTTCAAACGAGGTTCGAAATTTGACCATATTTTCATGTTACATTTTTCCATCATTTCAATAGCTTTCAGAATGGGACACCAACACTGCTCTTCTATTATTTATAACTTGAGTTAAAGACTACCGATTTAAAAGTGGGATACCTCTATGAATTTGTGGTTTAATTCTCTGATATTCTACACTAAAATTTTTTTTTTAAGCGAGGGTCAAAATTTTAACCCATTTTCATGTTTGATTGCTCTGCAATTCCAATGGGGTCCAGAATGGCAACCCAAAAATGAACTTCTAGATTCCCTAACATGACATATAGGACCCCGATCTTTAAGAGGGATACCTCTAAGAATTTGTGGCTTAATTCTCTGATATTCTGCATTAAAATTTTTCATTTAAGCTAGGGTCAAAATTTTAACCCATTTTCATGTTCGATTGCTCTGCAATTCCAATGGGGTCCAGAATGGGAACCCAAAACTGAACTTCCAGATTCTATAACTTGACTTATAGGATCCCGATTTTCAAGTGGGATACCTGTATGAATTTGTGGTTTAGTTCTCTAATACTTTACATTAAATGTTTTTTTTAAGCGACGGTCAAAATTTTAACGTTTTCATGTTCGATTGTTCCGTAATTCCAATGTTGTCCAAAACGGGAACTGACTTGACTTATAACTTGACTTATAGGATCCCTATTATGAAGTGGGATACCTCTTCGAATATTTGTTTAAATTCTTTTATAGTTTAAATTAAAATATTTCGTTTAAGCGAGTGTCAAAATTAGAGTCTATTTTCATGTTCAACTTTTTTGTAATTCCAATGGCTTTCAGAATGGGAACCAAAATTGCACTTCTATAAACCATAACATGATTTAAAGACTACCGGTTTAAAAGTGAAATACCTTTATGAGTTTGTGCTTAAATTCCCTAATTAACTACATTAATATATTTCCTTTAAACGAGGGTCAAAATTTGAGCCAATTTTCATGTTCAATTTCAGAATGGGACCCCAAAACTGCACTTCTTTAATCCATAACTTGGGTAGTTTTATATTCATGTTCAATTTTTCTGTAATTCTAATGGCTTTCAAAATGGGAACCCAAAACTGCACTTCTATAAAATATGAGGTTGTTTAATTTCTCCAATAATCTACATTTTAATATATATTTGAAGAAGTAGGCTTCTGCTTTTCCTGTTACCATTTGTTTAAAGGTTCCATTTTATTAGTTTTCTAAAAAATTTAGTAATGCTTACAGTGATCTTGGCGTGTTAAAATTCTCGGTTACACATAATTTAAAAATTTTCTCTGCTTTTATTATAATTAGGGATACCGATACGGATACGCAATCGGAATCGAAATGAGCTATACGAACCTCCTGCGCCAGCAAAACGTGGTGGACGACTGTCAGCGGGTGAGTTGCAACCGCGGTCCGGCGTCCAATCTCTCAAGACGCTGTGTGATCAGCCGGGACATCGTGATCGGATGCAGGATGGAACAATGCGATCCAGACTTGCCATATATGCTGGAGCCCACGTGGAGTGTCTACCTGCGATCCGGTCGTGATGGCGGTGATCTGTCCCGCTTCGTGCGGAGGGCCACCTTTAAGATGTCGCCGCGACTGCCGCTGAGATTACACGTGGCGGACAGTGCTCCGTTCGAGATCAGCGAGGTGCTGGGCAGCGACTTTCCTGTGGAGGTGCAGGTGCAGTATGTGGACGCCCGGATGTCAGCCACCTCGTACGTATTCCGACCCCGAGTGGTGCGTGAGGGGCATGGCGGGATCAGCGAGGAGGTGACCGACAAAATGATATTCGTGAATCCCACGCCCTCGATGAGGTTGAGCCTCACACCCGTTTATGTTCCGTGTGTGAGTGGTCCGCCCAAGGCCAGGGTATCCTCCGAGTCCCAGTTGGAGCGCCCCGAATCGGATAAAAAGGGTGAGCGGGAGGAACGGGATCGGGAGCAGGTTGGCGATGTGGCACGGCAAACGCAACCGCACCCCACTCTGCTCAAGAAGCGCCTAAGTGTGGGTGAAAACTACCCTAACAGCCACCAGTAAATTATACTATTCACAGGTGAGTAAACTGGGTTGATTTGTATGGACGAAAAAAAGTGACAAATCATAGGGAGGAAAATATTCTAAATAATGTTGCTAAAGAAACTACGACTCGAGAATCACATTTGTCCCTCCGCATTGCAAAAGAAGAAAAATGGAACGGAATTTTATTTTTTTAATGCATTTTCTTTAAAGCGGAAAGAAAGATTTCGGCTTGAAGTATGAGTAAGTAATCTTTTCGCAATTTTTTTCTGATTGTTGCTAAGGGAACCATTATATGATATTGTAAATGCTGAAATATCAATAAAATATTAAAACAAAATATTAAAATATGGATAAGATAGATATTTATATTCCGTTTTATTATTCTTAAACATCCCAATCGCGTTACTTTAATAAAACTAAATATTAGGGTAGCTAACTTCGAAGACCCAAACCAAATCAAATTGCTTTAGGAATTCGTATCCAAAATGGGTAACCAATTGCTCCGTATTTAACCCTACAGCACCAAAATAACACATCAACACCTCAACGCCAAGGTCGGAACCGCCCATTTTGTGTGTATGCCTCATCCTGGGGTGGTTCGCTGCTTCCTTGGCCCCGCCTTCATTCTAAAGGGGGTTGGTTAGCAACCACAGAGTCACAGAACTCAGCACTTAGTCAGTTGCTCACTTCGCTGCGGCTCTTCGAACGCAACAGAACATTCGTATCCTTTATCCGGAGAAACGGACAGATGGCCTGGCTACCGAGCAGCTCCAACGGGGCGGACAACGCGGACGAAAGGAGCACAGCTTCGAGTGGGTCCTCCGGACACAGCCAGACCAACGAATCTCCGCATTCCGGAAATATAAATGGAAATGGAGTAATCCGGGACACCGGGAGACACCCGCCAGCTCTGCTACGGCACGCAACGCCCCATCTGCAGCCCAAGACGGAGTCCGTGTCCGACGGAGACGGTGACGCGGAGCTCTCCGATTTTTCCCTTAACGACACCGAGGAGGATGAGGAGGATCTGCGGGACTACATCGTGCTGAGTGGCAACCAGGCGGATGGTGAGGACTACTATTTCAAAGATAACATTCCTGTGTTGCGAAAATTAACTTTATTTAAAAACAAGAGTACGCTATAGTCGATAGCCTCGACTATTAGATACCAGTTACTCAGCTTAAGGGAGTGCAAGATGGATGGAGATATGCTTAAAGAATCTCTGCTTTTTTCACTAACACACCTACTAGCCTAAAGCGCTAGCGGTTCCAGGACTGAAAGTTCTTTTGGATTAACTTAGTCAAAGAGGGCCAGATAGCTTAAAGACTGCCTGAACGATTCACACCATTTTCGATCTCATTTCCAAAATATTTTTTCTAGTTAACTTTTGTATGTTTTTTTCAAATAGTCGAACTTGATATAATATTGTAAGAGGGTATTATCTTTGATTTTCACTACTCAATTTAATTAGTTATACCCGTTACTCGTAGAGTAAAAGGGTATACTAGATTGGTCGGAAAGTATGTAACAGGCAGAAGGAAGCGTTTCCGACCCCATAAAGTATATATATTCTTGATCAGGATCACTAGCCGAGTCGATCTAGCCATGTCCGTCTGTCCGGATGAACGCTGAGATCTCGGAAACTATAAGAGCTAGTGAGATTTGGAGTGCAGATTCTGGATCTTCTTACGCAGCGCAAGTTTGTTTCAGCAGAGTGCCACGCCTACTCTAACGCTCACAAACCGCCCAAAACTGTGGCTCCTACAGTTTTGATGCTAGAATAAAAATTTTAACTGAAATGTATTGTTCTCATCAAAACCTATCGATGGATCAAAAAAAAGCTTGCCACGCCCACTTTAAAGCCCACAAACCGCCCAAGCCCGTGACGCCCACAATTTTCATGCTAGCTAAAACAATTTTAACTGAAATTTATTGGTCCCGTCAATACCTATCGATTGATCCAAAAAAAATTTTGCCACGCCCACTCTAACGCCCGTAACGCTTAAGTCTGTCTACCGCCGCGGCGGTAGGTGGCTCATTATACCCGTTACTCGTAGAGTAAAAGGGTATACTAGATTCGTCGGAAAGTATGTAACAGGCAGAAGGAAGCGATTCCGACCCCATAAAGTATATATATTCTTGATCAGGATCACTAGCCGAGTCGATCTAGCCATGTCCGTCTGTCCGTCTGTCTGTCCGGATGAACGCTGAGATCTCGGAAACTATGAGAGCTAGGCTATTGAGATTTGGCGTACAGATTCCTGAGCTTCTTACGCAGCGCAAGTTTGTTTCAGTAGACTGCCACGCCCACTCTAACGCCCACAAACCGCCCAAAACTGTAACTCCTACAGTTTTGATGCTAGATAGAAAATTTTAACTGAAATGTATTGTTCTCGTCAATACCTATCGATTGACCTAAAAAAAAGTTTGCCACGCCCACTTAAACGCCCACAAACCGCGAAAACCTGTGACGCCCACAATTTGCATGCTAGATAAAAAATTTTAACTGAAATGTATTGGTGTCGTCAATACCTATCGATTGATCCAAAAATAAATTTGCCACGCCCACTCTAACGCCCATAACGCTTAAATCTGTCTACCGCCGGTAGGTGGCGCATTTTAATCTCGCTTTGCTGCTTGCATATCTCCATTTCCCTTTGAGTAACGGGTATCTGATAGTCGAGGTACTCGACTATAGCGTTCTTCCTTGTTTTAATCTCGCTTTGCTACTTGCATATCTCTATTTAGCTGAGTAACGGGTATCTGATAGTCAAGGTACTCGACTATAGCGTTCTTCCTTGTTTTTGTATTAATAATTTCGATGATTTTGTTGTCCCTTCCCTAGGCAATCGTTCACTGTCCAGTTCCCCGCGTAGCCACTCCCGCAACGGACTGCTTACAGCGCCTCCCAGCTCCGGAAGTTCAGTCGGCGGAGGCTGTGGTGGGGGAAATGTCTCCGGAGGCAACGCGTCCAGCGGCGGAGGAGGAGGAGTCACTGGCGGAGTGCGTAAGGTGTTTACAAACACAAGGGAGCGCTGGCGCCAGCAGAACGTATCTGGCGCCTTTGCGGAACTACGCAAGCTGGTGCCCACGCATCCGCCGGACAAGAAGCTTTCGAAGAATGAAATCTTGCGCTCGGCCATCAAGTATATCAAGCTGCTAACGGGCATCCTCGAGTGGCAGCAGCGACAGGAGCCTTCCCTGCAGACTAGGGGTCAACTGGAGCCGAACAACAACGACAATAGGATGGTCAATGGTCACGCGGCGGACGGTGAGTTAGAAAACGCAAGTATCCCAGCAGTTCGGCACATAAAATGTGAACGTGCCGACGGACAGCAGCAGAGGATAGGGCTTGGGAACGGGGGAAATGACCTGCTAATGATTGCCCCGGGAGCCATTATTAAGAGCGAGCTCCTTCTGGAGACACCACTGCCTCTTGGACAGCCGGTTCTGGGCACACCACTGCCGTTGCCCACTGCTCCGCTGGCCATTGTGGAATCACGAATTTCCGGAACCGTATCCGGCATTAAGGTGATTGGCAGTCGAACCAGCAAGCGGCGTCTCAAGTCAGAGAGCGGGGCCACCGACCTCAGTGTGGGCAAACGCCGCCGGACTTAAAAGACGCGGCCAGATGGAATCTCTGGAAGAATGGATGCCGACTGTGCCGAAGCAACGGGAGCAACTGTCAGATAGTTACACCCCTCATATTAAAATTATTTTATTTTACCAATAAATTTAAAAGTTATGGAAATACTATCTTAAGGTTTATGATGTCATGTGTAGAACGACAAGGAAAACTAGACTTTCACGTAGCTCTGCTTTATTTACGCAATTGTAAGTAATTTTACTTTACTTGTTTTCTGGCAATGAGCTCGGATCTGCCGTCGGCGCGGGAGTCGCTCAAGGCGGACTGAAGCTGTCCAGCGCATTGGAGCGCTCCCACCCCTCCTGGAGGGAGCGCCAGACCAGCGGAAGATGGGAGCCCAGATCCTCACGATGCACCCATCTATATCTTGGCCCTTTTGCAGCGGAATTAAACCCAAAGCTGCTGTCGAGCCACGGCTTGCACTGCAAATAATTTTTTGTTGGTTTAAAATAAGCTTCACCGGAAATAAAAGACATCTTCAATAAGATTTAAGCGTCCTTACTGCAACATAAGATCATGTTCATAGTAACAGATGGCTTTAGAAAATAAATACCACTTTTGAAAAACAAAATCGATATGGCGCTTCTTTGTTTTTTGGGGGCGGGGTTTGGGATTTTGTGGTTGGCAACGCAGGTCTTGCCCATCGTGTCTAACTCGTGACAAAAACAAACTAACGGTTGTTTTTAACGGAACTGACTTCCACTTGTTCGCCCGGTATACAAAGTCGAGAAATTTGCCAATGATTTTTGTATTTTTGATCTATTTTGTCGGGCGAATCGAGAGATTTTCCATTAAAAATACCAGACAATCAAAAATGTTAAGAGGTGGATGCGTCAGTACTTCGCCTGGTATACAAAGTCGAGAAATTTGCCAATGATTTTTGGATTTCTGATCAATTTTGTCCAGCGAATCGAGAGATTTTCGATTTCAAATACCAGGCGAACAGAAATTTAAGGATGTGGTTGCGCCATTTCTTAAATCATGAAACCCAGTAGACACCTACTATTTTTTATGTTCGCCTGGTATCGAAAATGAGGAAATGAATCAATTTGTGATTAATTTCGTCAAAGAAAACAAGAGATTCTTGTCGATTTTAAATTTTAAAGTACCAGGCGAACAGAATTTTCAGTAGGTGGCTGCGCGATCTGAGAACTTGGTAGCCCCCAAAAGGCGGCAACAAAAAATTCTAAGATCGCAAATATCTGCTGCCTAAAAGTATGCTACAACAAATGGATCCAGTTTCAGCAAAACCATCGACAGCCCAAAAGTATGCCACAAAAAAATTACTCAAAATTGCAAATCCATAGACGGCCCAAGAGTATGCTACAAAATAAAACTTAAGCCAAGCTTTAAAATAAAAAACATTGCATTCTTTTAGGCATTAATTATAAATATATTTAAAATAACCACCTACTAATTTTTATGTTCGCCTGGTATCCAAAGTCGAGAAATTTGCCAATAAATTTCGGATTTTTGATCAATTTTGTCGAGCGAATCGAGAGATTTTCGATTTCAAATACCAGGCAAACAGAAATTTCAGGATGTGTTTGCGCCATTTCTTAAATCATGAAACCCAGTAGACACCTACTAACTTTTATGTTCGCCTGGTATCAAAAACGAGGAAATGAATCAATTTGTGATTAATTTCGTCGAACAAACCAAGAAATTCTTGTCAATTATAAGTTTTGAAGTACCAGGCGAACAGAATTTTCAGTAGGTGGCTGCGCGATCTGAGAACTTGGTAGCCCCCAAAAGGCGGCAACACAAAATTCAAAAACCGTAAGCCCAGTGTAAGCAAAACGACCGACTGCCCAAAAGTATGCCACAAAAAAAAATAAAATAAGAAAAACACTGCATTTTTCTAGGCCTTAAGCATAAATATATTTAAACTCTACTTTTATTTCCAATTTGCTTACATAATTTTTAATACTACTTATTATATATTTGTAATGAAGAATTAAATAAAATAATTAAATATGTTTGTAATGCTGTTTCAGCTCGTGAAAGCTTCCTGGAAGATCGCACTTTTCACGTATCTGCTGATGGGTACAAGTCGTCGACCAAACCGATTTCTGCCGGAGTTCCCCAAAGTAGCGTCCTCGTACCTACTCGACCAACCACTAAACTTACGAACTTCTTTTATTCCCTATTTTCTAACAAACGTATGACGTTTCCACCTAGAATAGAAAGAAATCCATAACCGCAGAGCCCATAAGAAAATACACATTTATATAAATATATTTTTGTTTGTAATTTTTATTGTTTTTAAATTAATGTTTTCTTTACGCATTTGTCTCGTGTTTCATTTTCATTATCATTTCCTCTTTCAATTTGGTTTTCCCATTTTTTAGTTTTGCAATTAATTTAGGTTTGTGTTTATTTGTTAATTAAGTTTAAGTTTGGTTTGGATTTCTCATGTGGTTGTTGCCTCATAATTAAAGCGAAACGCTGAAGTTCTTCATCATATATAAGTATGTTTTTTCTATGCATATATATGTGTGTATATGTATATATTGTTTTGGGCTTTCATTTATCTTCGGTTGAAACTTGTAATTACAAATTAAGCAGTGTGTGTTGGTGTTTTTTAAGGTATATATAACTTGTCTGCAGTTTTCGTACAATCTTTACCAAAAAGAATATTAGTTCACAAATCTTTGGATTCAAATTTATTTGAAATTATAGACGTATGTGCGTGTGAATATGTCTGAATTTACGTGTGTTTTCTTGTGTGGGTGTGTACATATATGTATATAGTAAAATTTTATTTAGTTTTGATGTCACAAAACTCAACTTCATTAATTGTATAAATGTATCATTTAGTTAGTAAAAAAAAATATGTTCTCATATAATATATAAGGAGTTCTATGGAAATACATACAAATAGACTTGCTTTCCTTTTTTGTTTTGCTTTTCTCATGTTTCGCTTTGTTTTGTTTACTTAGTTGGTTTTAATGGGCTTAAAGTGCTTGGACATAATCGCAGATTTTTAAAACGAGATCTAAGCAGTTAAACTGGGTGTTTTTCATAGGTATAGAGAAATAGATTGGAACCAATCGAACCGAGGGGTAGTGCTATAGTCGCGCAGGAGTTTCCGGTTGATCTAAGGCCTTATATTCTAAAACCATCTTCGGTTTCATTGTATTTTACTTCAATTTGTATTAAATAAGTTTAAATTTTTAATTGCAGCTAGATGTTTTTTGTCGGTTACTTTTAAATATATCCTGGCTCTACTACCTCATTACCTCAATATTTGCATTGTTAATTTAAGTTAATGGGTGGCGTCGCGCGCTAAAAGCGTTTTACTCATTCAAACATTCATTTACTTTTTTGCTCTTTTTGTTATAACCTTTGTATTTATGTATAGTGTTAGTGTATATTGCATTTTGACGATCGCTTCCTTAGATAATCGTATTTCCTATGCGTCACTTGAGAACAGGCCACGAAAAATGTTGCTATACGTGGAGTTTTTCATTTCTTTCGGCATTTCCGGTTCATGGGTTGGGGGTGCTACTAGGGTTACGAATGTCTTGGTAATATCTCGTATATATATCTATGTTTATATAATATCTATATCGTATTTATATAGATGCACTTGCGCGAGTTTAGTAAATGTTATATCCTCCTTTTTGCTAGTTGTTACTTTGCCGCCTTTTATTTTTACTTTTACTTTCACTATGGATTGCTAACTGCTGTGAACGTTATATATTTGTATAACCGCATATATATAAACGTTAAATGGGGCAAAAATTTTGATTTATTTCACTAAGTATTCCCTTATCTTTCTTGTGGTTTTTTACTTAACTTTTATTACGTTTCGCGAGCTATTTTTTAAATGTTATTTACTATATTTGAGGGCGGGGGCACAAGGGGAAGGGTTTTTCCGATTATTTCTCAACATTCATCCGGAGTTTTTCTCTTTGTTTTTCAATAATACAGATTATTATTTAAATTATTTATGCAAAATTTAAAGTGGATTTTTGTTTTTTTCTCGAGTTTTATGCTAAATATTTGCTTGCGCACAATGCATATAGCTTGATATACATACATACATGTGTGTTGTTAGTGAGAATGTGTAAGGATGTGGCTGTTGTTGTCGGGGTGGGGGTGTCAGTGTATTGGGTGGGTCTTATGTGAAGTGAATTCCATTGTCTATAATTTGTTCTTAGCTTTAGCTGGGACTTCATCCATCTCTAATGTCGAGTCTAATTGTGTGTGTCTGGGTGATGTTGCCATATCGCTTACGGCCAAAGTTGTAAACTTAATCCCTGGCCCAAGAGAAAATCCTGTGAATAACATTACATTAAAAGAGCACCTCTCTCGCGCTAACCCGACGCCGCTGCCTCGGTTTCTGCTGCTCCTGCTCCAGATCCGGCTGCTCCACTGTCTCCTGCGTCCTTATCCCCGCCATTTCCACCTCCTGATCCCGATCCGCATCCCGATCCCGAGCCGCCTGCCTCTCCGTTTCCGCTGCCGCTTCCGCCACTTCCGCTGCTGTTCAGGGCGCTGTTCGACTGAGAACCTAGAAAACGTCGTCAAAAAAACAAAGAGATTCAAATGTGGATTGCTTTTCGTATTCAGTAGCTCTATTTTGCAGGATACACTCTTCAGAGGCGTAGACAGAGAGACCTTGGAGTGGAGCCATGAGAATATGAGATAACTCCCAGGACAAACATCAATAAGATTTTACCAAATTCCTAGGACAGTAGAGTTTTGTATTAAACCATTCACAAAATATTAGAAATCATAACTATTGTCAAAAAATCTTTGAAATAACTGGTACTTCGGTGTTTAACTAAAACAACTTACACATGACCAAAAAAAAAAACATAAAACTTTAAAAAAGTAAAAGAAACTTTTGATAAAACTAGAATTAGTTTAATTATTATTAATTTTCGTATGCAAATCTTATAGTCCTATTAGTTTATTTAAATATGTTGATAAAAATAATCTTCAAAAATAGTATAAATTGAGTGGCGTGAAGATATTTTCCTACTTCCAATTTCAGCTGCAATATATATTAATATATGTATTGTGCATTTTATTATATTAGGATCAGCTCAAATAACTGTATGCGTGGAAATACTAATCTTATTGACCTCAAAGACATCCACAAGGAAAATAAGGATGCAGCCGAAAGCCCAACGAAAACGCAAAAACAATGCTTACATTGAACAATTTGATACAGTAGATGTGGATGTCATAAAAAAGAAAGGCAAAAACAAAAGGTTTTACTTTTGTTTAAATATTGTATTTCTCTTTTTATTTGTTGGATTTTGTAGTATTTATTTATTATCATTTTCATTACGGCTTCTTTGCTCATTGTCATTAACGAATCTATATATTATCATGATTATTACAGCATTACATATACAATTGTCAAAGTATGCGTATGTACGTGGCTGTGTGTTGTGTGTGTTTGTGTTATATATTAAGCAATTTTAAAAATAAGATAATGTGTTTAATTTGTTGTTCCTTTTTATTTTTTTATATTTTATAATTTTTTTAATCTGTTTTCTTGTATGTCTAAATTACTAGGAAAAATGTATTTTTTTCTGCGTGTGTGTGTATTCATGAATCATTTATAATTAGAATAATAATTAGTTTAAGGTCGATTATGATAAACTATAGAAATAAATATGTGTTTAGCTTTTTGTTTTCTTTTTTAACTTGTCTCATATTGGTTTTGATATTTTTGTCGATCTAATTTTTTGTTTTTACTTCTCCCACTCTGACGAAAGAAAATGATATTTAATTTTAAAGCAGCTCTGTATTGAAAAAAGGATTTGGGGGCGAGGCAGGCGACACTGACTATATATGCAAATTAAAATAATGCAGTTCTACAGTTACAGAAACGATAATTGGACCTTATCTACATATTGCAACTAAGCCGTCGGTTCTCAGATGCCAGCTTCCATGTCTGTGTTCTGCTTCTTGATCTCGTTATCCGATAATTTTCTCTCTCACAACTACTGGCTAAATAAAAATACATGCATTGAGATATATCTGTACATATATATTTTAAAGGCGAACAAAATATATACGTCTTAATTTCCACGCTCCGTTCGTTTCTTGCTGTCAATCAATTATTTTCTTTTATTTATTACAAAATAATAATAATAATTACACCAGTTTACAAAAAAAAATTGATGAAATACGCCTTTCAGGAAACCTTTGTTTTCCGGTAAGATACATCTCCCTGATTAAGAAAAGGGCACTTAAAATTTTTTCTATGGTACCAATTTTTTTTAAAGTGTAAAAAACGTTTTTTGCACTTTTTTATTTTATAACTTGAGTTGTGATAAACCGAATTCGGTCATTAAGGACTCATTTTACAGGTAATAGAATGCCCTTTAACTTTCTTATACACATTATTAAGTTCCATTCATTAGTTCAAAAGCTACACTTCGTCAAAGTTGAAAAATTTGGAAAAAAATCAAAAACGCTGGCATAAATGGCTTCTTTAAAAATACACGCGTAAAAACCGAAATTAGTTTTATGTTTTTTTCTTGATGGCTGAACCATAACGGAGAATATGCGCCATAGATCACGACAATCCGTTGGTAAATCGATTTTTAACAGATTTTTAAACGTATATACCCAAGTTCATTATTCGGGAGCAGCGGCCGTTAAACGTTATTTTAAATTTTCAGTGTTGGGGAACGTAAGAATTTGGTGCAAGTTGTTATGCATAACGTCAGTTTCCTTGCTAAAAATATATGAAAATGGTTTCCTCGTAACTGCAATCGCATACTCTTTAGCTTGCCCAGCGCTATAGCAAAGAAACTGACGTTATGCATAACAACTTGCACCAAATTCTTACGTTCCCCAACACTGAAAATTTAAAATAACGTTTAACGGCCGCTGCTCCCGAATAATGAACTTGGGTATATACGTTTAAAAATCTGTTAAAAATCGATTTACCAACGGATTGTCGTGATCTATGGCGCATATTCTCCGTTATGGTTCAGCCATCAAGAAAAAAACATAAAACTAATTTCGGTTTTTACGCGTGTATTTTTAAAGAAGCCATTTATGCCAGCGTTTTTGATTTTTTTCCAAATTTTTCAACTTTGACGAAGTGTAGCTTTTGAACTAATGAATGGAACTTAATGATGTGTATAAGAAAGTTAAAGGGCATTCTATTACCTGTAAAATGAGTCCTTAATGACCGAATTCGGTTTATCGCAACTCGAGTTAGAAAATAAAAAAGTGCTAAAAACGTTTTTTACACTTTAAAAAAAATTGGTACCATAGAAAAAATTTTAAGTGCCCTTTTCTTAATCAGGGAGATGTATCTTACCGGAAAACAAAGGTTTCCTGAAAGGCGTATTTCATCAATTTTCTTTTGTAAACTGGTGTTATTTAATAAAAATAAAAATAATTTATTTATTTAATATGTATGTATACATAATGCGTGTTGCAAAAAAAAATATAGTTTATGTTCATAAAGATTATATATTATATATGTATAGTTTAAACAGTTTCGCTTTTTGTTTTGTTTGTTGCTTGTAGTTCTTTTTTTCTTTTTTTCTTTTTTTTTTGTGGTAATAATTTCCATTAAATTAAGGTATAACATAACATTAACATTATGCTTGCGGCTTTGTTTTTGTTTTTTTTTCTCTTCCTCTATATCTGTATCTCCTCTTCTGTTCAGTTTTGTTAAGGTCGTTTGTATATGGTGTATCTATGCTTTTGCTTTAGTTAATCTGTGCAAATTCATTAAATGTCTGCTTTTGTTACTACACAAAACTTTTTCCATTGGATTATTTATATCTGTTTCCTGGTTCCTTATCAGTTAAACGTACTAAACCAAGGTGCTATAAAAAAATACGCAATGACTCTGTTCAATATACATATACATAGTTATTTCTTTAGGCTTCAAAAATAATGGGTAGAATATTAACGGAGATAGTGAGAGAGGGGAGGAAGGAGAGATATTTGTAATAAAAGGTATTTTTAAAAGTTATATCGCCACACACGATGGTGACAAAATGACAATCGGTCAGCGCTTTACTATTAGAATTATTAGGGTTTTATTTACCATTATTAGTTATTATTATGCTTATTATTTTTATTTTAGATTTAAAATAACTTTAATTTTTTACCTAAGTAAAATGATTTCTTGTTATACATTTACTTGCTTTTGCTTCTCTCTCTCGCTTTTTGCCGCTATTCTTCTTTCGTATGTATTTGTTGTTGTTCTTTTCCTCAATTGCATTAATTAAATTTATTAATTAGTGTGTATATATGTAGGTTGTTGTTTTAATTTTTGTTGCTGCTGGTTTTGCGTTCTCCGTTCTTGTTTATAATTATTATATATGCTTGTTGCTGTTGTTGTGGGTGAAGGTTTTATATATATTTATTTCTATATATATACGTGGATATATATAAGTGTGTATTTATGTTACTATTGCCCCTATGAATCTGTAAATAAAAAATAAAAAGAAAAGAAAACGAAATTAAAATTAAAATATGTTTCTATTAGCTGACTACTAATAATAAGAAACTGAAAATAAATAAAAGCTTAATGAAAACGAATGAATTTTCTAATTTTTAAATAACGATAAAAGCCACAAACTGACATAAACATATCCTGAATAAGGTAATTAAAATTTTTGTAGGCACAATTTTTTTTAAGGGAATTTTCTGTGCATTGGGTGACCAACCCTAGGAAAGATATTTTTGGATCGAAACATACCTTATTTTAAGTTTGAAACTTATGAAAATGTAACTTTCCTTAAGTTTAGTATTTCGATTTTAAAAACATCTCACTAATGTACAACTTACTTGTTCCTTTCAACAAACCTTATTAAATTTAAGGCATTGCATTTTTTCTTAGATTTATCTAAAAAAAAGTCTTGAAAATATGCCGAAATAATAACAACAACAAAAATTTGCTTTGCATGTCATTAGCCTAGAGATTATTTCTCCTTTTCCGTGATTGTTGATTCTTGCTCTTAGTTCTTGATTTTTCACTTTTAATTCGTGATTCCCATACTTTCAGCTCTCACTTTCTACAGGTCAATGGAAAGCTATTTGCTCTTTCCGTGGGTTGATTTGGATTGGAGGAGGTGCTTTTTGGATGGATAGATATGTGGATGGGTGGATGTATCAAGGGATGGTGGTCAAGCGCCGATAGGTTGATTCAAATTCATATGTTGGCCGGATTGCGCAGGAAGGGTTTCCCTGACAACGGCAATTTGCGGTGCGGCCTCAGCATGAGATTGATACCAGCTAAGGAGCATAAGATGCGTTGGAAGTATTCTGGGTATACAGCAAAGATATTGCCCGTATCAAAATATCGAATCGTAATTATGTGGTGACAAATATGGAAACTGGTATTCATCGATATAATAGATGTTTAGAAATTAGAAATTGTCTTACAAAACGATACTGATACTTTTTTGGCTGGCGTGATGTGGTGACTGTTTGAAAATGCAGGGGCAAGGGGCAGAAAGCGCTGGCTGGCCAACCGCTTACTCACCTGTTACGTTGGCGCCGCCGGCGTTGCTCGCGGCCATAGCGCCAGCTGCTGAGGCAGCAGTGGCCGCCGCACCGACACCGCCACCACCACCACCGGCGACCGCGGCATTGGCAGCAGCTGCCACGGCAGACGGCGCTCCCGGTGCTCCGCCGCCGCTGCTGCTGTTGTTGCCAGACCCGGGTCCCCCGGCACTCGTTCCGCCGGCTCCTGCTGCTGCTCCTCCAGATCCCGATCCCGCAGCTGCTGCTGTGCCCTGCGGCTGAGAGGATCCTTCCGCCGAGGCGCCACTACCCGTTGACGAGATGCTGGTGGAGCCGCTGGCCGCAGCAGAGGCTGCGCCGCCGGCTGAGGATCGATTGCCGCCAGGTCCGGATGCATTCTGCAGATGCTTGGGCAACAACTGTGGCACTAGGCTGGGCTGTATCGAGAGTTCTGCGGATGGAGTGGGCAACGATTAGGATTAGTATTAGTCGGGTCGTGGTCAGAGGATCAATTAACTTACCATGCTCGGTGAAGTTGAACAGCGGCGGCATCTCGCGACCGTTGGGCAAGGTGTGGTTGCCCTCCATGCGCAGCTCGTCGAAGAACGGATGTGCACAGGCCTTGAGCGGTGTGATCCGTGCACTGGGCGTGTACTCGAGCAGCAGGGACACCAAGTTGATAGCTTCTGTAGGAGTGCGTATACGGAAAACCTGCGATAGGAGTTGGGAGATAAATCCAGTTATTGGGTTGTGCTATCACCAAACATTTTGGAGCGGAACTTCTTGCGGGACACAAAAACTGGGCGGGTCACAACTGGGCATCTGGGCAACAGGGCATCAAGGCGGGGCAGTAACGCAGTAATCATCATTGAAATGGGCAGGACACAAGTAATAGCACAGAGGAAGCTTTCATATTTACAGATGTAAATGTCTTGCTTCGGATTTCACATATTTCTTTCAATTTAAAATCGAAAGATTTATGTACTAGATACTTCAACTATATGAAAAACGTAGCAAAACATTGTTTTTTTTTAATTTATTTTAGGGATCAAAACAAATGTCGGCAGTGAGCAGGCCAGAAACCAAAACAATCAATTAAATTAAACTCCAAATCAAATCTAAAGAATCAATTAAACAAATATATAACTCCTGAAGGGCTGGAAGAACTGGCAAAAAGCTTAGCATAACTTAAAAGCCATGAAACTGCATCTCAAGCTGAATCTGAATATATAAGAACTAACCCTATAAAAACCACTTGAAAATGTTAGGGGATCTGACATATGAAAAATAACTTTAAAAAACCATTCAATTATTATTTATAAAATAGCCCTGGAATAAAATCAGAATCTGTCGTGGAACCTGCTGTTTACCCCCTGCTAAAAAAGTTATTATAGCATATGTATCTGCATGTTGGCATTATGAATTTTGTCAAGCAAATTTTGTAGTTAAATTAATTCGGTCGTTGCTGCAACTTTTTTTTATGTTTTCAATTTGTTTCTTGGCTTACTCTCAATCGTTGTTTCTGGTTTAGGGCGTTTGGAAATTGGGTGCGTTCGAGAAGTGACTGCAACGAGTATTCATGAACACACAATTTTCGGTTAAAAACACTTGTGGAAAAGTAACAAAGAGCGGTTGGGTGGTTATTTTAATGACAAAATTACGTTTCCCTGGAGAAGAGTGAAGAGGGAAGGCCACATGAGCGGAAAGCGCAAGGGAAAAACATAGTGAACGGGTCAATCCATTTCCTGATAACTAGCCACTTACTTTCTGCCATGGATGACTCTTAATTTGTGGGAACTTAAATTCCGTATAGTTTGGATTCATTTCGCGTATCTGTTCTCTTGTGGGTGTGCCCAGGACCTTGATGACCTCGACAAGCTGATCGACACCGGAATCGCCAGGGAAGATGGGCTGGCCCAGCAGTAGCTCGGCCAAAACGCAACCGGCACTCCACACATCTGAAATAAGAAATAAATAATGGTAATTTCAAAGTAGGACTATAGATTCTATTAGACACCGTGGACTCACCGATCTTTGTTGTATAATTGATGGCGCCAAAGATGAGCTCGGGGGCGCGGTAATACCGAGAGCAGATGTACGACACATTCGGCTCGCCGTGCAGCAGCTGTTTGGCACTGCCGAAGTCACAGAGCTTCAGCACAGCCGTCTCCGGATCGAGCAGAAGGTTCTGCGGCTTGATATCACGATGGCAAATGCCCAGCGAGTGGATGTAGGCCAAACTTCTAAACAGTTGATACATGTAGAGCTAAGAAGAGATCGGGTTAGTACAGAACGCAGAGTCTTAACTGGTCACAATAATACTAATAATCATATTTCATTTGTTATTTGTATTATGTTGACCACACTTGAATACTAGACTAGACTCACCCGAATAAAGTTGATTGGTATCGTTTGCTTGGTTTTGGCATATTGGCGAGCCACTTTGTATACGGTTTCTGGTATATATTCGAGGACTAAATTCAAAAATACTTCATCACGCTGCGAATCGAAGAGAGCACACGATTAATTTCTGATATTGCGGTTTTGGGTCATATGATCCATGTATGGATATGTATAGGAGTCTAGGTTTAAGGGTGAATTGACTGATGAAGTTGCAAGCTGTCAACATGCGTTTTTGTTCAGGGTTGTATAGTCGGCGACATTTAACTCAAACTAGCATAGCAGCAGGATTCGATTCACAGGAGTTTATACCATGCGGTGTGATCTTCTGTACGTTTCATTGTACTTTTCTCAATACAAAGCAAAGGGATTCGGTTTCGGATTCATATATGAGAGATAAAGAAAGTTTAAGATCGAATGAGAGCAAGTTGCTTATGGCCGTATGAAACTTGCTTAAAGTTCGATTAACTAACTGAATTTATTTGTATAAAAACAACGAGTATATGATATGAACCTTATGAAAAACCTACTGCTGTGTAAACAACAGCTCACACCACTGTAAAACGTAAACAGCTTTATAGCTTGATCACTGCTTTAAAGATTTTTGTTCTTCTTCATCGCTTGCTTTGGAACTTTATTTTTGACATTTTATATGCCATTCTACAGCCCTTTGTAGGCTGCTCATTTGCAACAATTCAAATATCACATTAAGTGTGTAAACTCACTGTTAACGCGATAAGTCCTGTGTAGTATAAAAAGTATACGTCATTTATTTCAGTTTTTTAATTTCTCCCTCTCCCCCGCACAATAAATCCAGTCAATTAGTCAATTGTCATACGGCCATTAATGATCTGAGCTGAAGAACTGAAAACTTTGAGATTTTGGGATACCTGGGGCTTGAGCACACTCGCGAATATGCCCAAATCGATGGGGAACTCGGCCAGCTAGTGACCGATTTCAGTTTCGGATTCAGTTTTGATATCAGGTTCGGTTTCAGTTTCAATATGCAAGTGAAAGAGATTTAATTCAATTCGATATTTGCTTAACTCATAATCCTGTCAAGAAATGCTTAGCGATTAAAGCTCAAATCATTGTTTAAAATAAATACTTAGTACGGTTAAACCATGTAGAAATGAACACAAAACTAGAGGTAAGATTTGTACGTATAAATAACTACCCTTTTGCTAAAAATATTATTTTTCCTTTCAGAACAACCAATCAATAGGGTTTTTAATTGAATTAGGGATACAAATTCTCTCCCAGCTAATCTTAAGTAATAAAGTTTAAGAGATTTGCGTTTGACAATCTATATGTTGCTGGTAAAAGCAAATGGGTTTTCAATTAAAACATAGCAGAAATTGATTTTTAAAAAAAAGGTAGATTTAAATACAGACAACCACACACTATTTAGCAAAGTAAGCCAGATATTATTTTTGTATTTTTACGTACTTGTTCAAAGGAGTCTCAATAAATGCTTTCCGTACTAAGTAAATACCGATGCTGGCAACTTCAGCAGTCCATCTCCCCATAATAAAGAGTGCTATACTAAGTGAAACTTACCTTTTCACCGCTCGAATAGAAAAAGTACAAAAGCTTTACAATATTACAATGCTCCAATTTGCGCATAATTTGCAATTCGCGATTCTGTGAAAGAAAAAAGTATTAAATTAAATTATATCCGTACACTTCTTGGTATATCGATTTTAGGAGACTAAAGAACCAACCTTAAATCGTCTGTCTTGTAAAACTTTTTTGATTGCCACCAGTTCGCCGGTATCGCAAAGCTTTGCCTGGAACACGACGCCGAAGCTGCCATTGCCGATGACCTTAGTGTCTGTATAGGAGACCTCTTGTACGCGATCGGTGCCTTGGCCGGGTGTTGCAACAACTGTTGTAATTTTAGAACCATCGCGACCTGTTTTTGTACGTAAACAAGAATTGTGTTACTTCAATTTGTATTTTAAAGCGCAGAGAGGAGACTCCCGTATAGTATATGCCCGAACTTATCCTAGCACACACACATATATAAATAGATGGTTTATACACCTGTGGTCTCCCAGGCGCCCTCCAGTTTCTCCTTGCTCCTATCGACCTCCTTTGGAATGGACAGTGCAACACTGTGCTCGGGCCACAGGTCGTTCAGCTTTCCGATCAGTTGTTTCATGCCTGCACACAAATCAGACACGAATCACACAAGATATAGTCAAGAGATCGATCAGTCAATGCTGATCAGTGATCAGCTCGAAAACGAAAACAACGGAGAGAGGAGTAGGAAGAAATAATCACAGAAGGTGAACAAAACAGTGTGAGGAACAATCAGAAGAGTTTGGGTTTACATGGAATTTAGGTTAAGGAGCGTAACAAACAGAGATATAAAAGAACTTGAGAGAGTTGTATTATGGCCGAGAAGTTCATCAGTTTCTTGAAGATTGTAATAATTTGTATGCAATGCAATTCCTTGCTCAGATTCAAAATTAAGAATCATTAGATTATAAAGATAATAGAAATAAACAAAGTGACAGAAGAAAGCAACTCGACTATTAGAAACCCGTTACCCAGCTTAAGGGAGTGCGAGAGGGATGCAGATATGCTTAAAGCAACTCTGCATTATTCCACTAACTAGCACATTCTACGAGTAATGTAATGTAAAAAAAACCAAATTTAAATATTGGAAAATTAAAAATTAAAATGGCAGACCTTTAAATTATAGTCCCTAAATGAAGTGTTATTGTTGTTTTCTTTGGCGATCTAAACCAAATAAATCAATAGATCATATAAAGTGTAAAATAAGGAATACAATTATTCCTAAAAACCATCACATCAAGATTTTGATTTTACCCTGTACCATCCGACCAATCTCTTCGCATTTTTGTTGCTAATTAATTTTGGCATTGGCGGCAAAGATGCCGATGCTATGTGCATTATGTTGGTGATAATATAATAATGATGATGGGGCAGGCAGCTGCTACTGCCTCTCGCATCACAGTGGATTTTGGTGGTCACATTACGGGTTTTTAATTTTTTTTATAGGGTTTGTTGTTGTTCGTATTCATCCGTGAACTATTTTTCTTCGTTTATAAAATTTTATATTTAAAGAATTCCCTACAATCCGGATTTCTATATTCTACTCAGGATTCCTAATTTTGCTTGCTTAAAGCCTAGTAGTGTTTCTATTATTTGTGCCGATCTATGTAATCGAAAACGTAACATTTTTTTCAGTACGCAGGTGGATAGTAAGAAGAATCCCTGATCAACATTTTGGTATATAGCTATGCAAGCACTTCGATTTTAGAATGACCTTTTTGTGGGACTTCTTGAAATGCTATCCCTGTCCTTTGATTAAGCCGTGGTTACAAAATGTGGAATCTTCAGAAGGATTCGGCTTTTATTTTCTGTGAGCTTTGTTAATACAAATCCTATCTCTGTACTTAAATTGCTGTTTGGGATTTGGGATATTGAGGGTTTTTATTTCTGTACTTGGATCCTTGTACTGCTTGCCTCCTCCACCGGCACTGGCGATGCTGGCCCCACTACCGCTCCGGTTCGGTGGTTTGGTCTTCTTAAGAGCGGCGGCCACCACTATGGATGATGAGCAGGCGGATTGGGCCGCCTTGGCCGCTGCCGAAAGGGGTTTATGTTTGCCATTGGCTTTCGACTTCCGATCGCAACTAGAGGATTCAGTGGTCGAGGTACTATTACTGGTGGATTCGCTATCCGATTCCGATTTGCTATCAGCACTGGAGGAACTACCCGATCCGGATTCCGGTTCGGATTCGCTGGTGCTTTCGTTGCTGCTATTCTCCTCGCTCGAGGATTGACGTTTGTTCTTTCTTTTCGTCGCCAAAGGGATAGGTGGGACAGCACCACCACCAAAAGAGCCCCTTTTATTCTTAATGACCTTGGCGGGCGGTTTGCTGGCGTCTATGGAATTCTGCCTGCCGGAAGTGGCGGTGCCGGAACCAGCACCATCCGATTCACTGGCCTCATTCACGGAGCCACTGCCGGGTGCCCGCTTCTTTTTGCGAACTACCCGAACCACTTTACGGACACCACGCGGCACCGCCACGGGCCCCACCTGTGACTTATCCACCTTGAGCGGGGAGTACTAATCACTACTGATTCGCTGAACCACCGTGTGCCCTGCCACTGAGTGGTGTTGTGGATGTAGCGCTGCAGTGATGCCTTACACAACAAAAAATAGTTATGAAAAATCAAAATTGCAAAAGGTGGCGTCTAAATGTTTTTAACCTATTTTCGAAACCAAAAAAAATGTATTTAAAGAACAACGGTATAGTTTTTAAAAAATTTGTATTAAAGCATTTGTACTATTAAGCTAAAATACCATAAATAATGTAAAAAGTTATCCATGTTTATAAGCAAATATTAAAGTAAACATTCTTTATACAAGATTTGTTTATAGTAAGTATTACGCAAGCTCACTCTTTAGACCACACAATTTGTTTCATACATTAAATATAGGTTTTAGCAAAATGTATTTTAAATTGTCTTAACTCGATTTTTAAACACCACTTTTATAATTTCGATTTCAAAAATAGGCTATTTAAAATCCACTTTCATTCCATACAAACTAAGTGTTTTTTTTTTCAATGTACGGTGGCAGGCTTTGGCCTAGTTTTATTTTCGGTCACTTGACGTTTCTTTCGCTTTGTGTGCAGATCAATCGATCGATCGATCTTCAAATAGCAAAAAATGCAAACACGCAGCAGCACCGAAAAAACAACAAAATACAATATCACAGCAAAAAAAATTAAGAACCGAAATAGTACAATCTTCGAAATTTCGTTTTTTTATTCTTTTAAGAGAAAGAGAAGTACTGATTAGATCGATACGTTTCGTTCCGCTTTCAATCTAACGATCCGATCGCTCGAGCTACCGCAGCACAATTGGTGGGTGGCGACAAATAAGTGGAAAAGAGCAGAGGACAACGCGAATGGCGATTAAGAGACACAAAGATCGCTCACGAATGCCACACGAAGGGTGGTCGGTTCCATATTCGATCCACACACTCAGGCGACCCACAAATTCGTCGATCGATTAAAACGCGCTTAAAAAAATAAATACCTAAAAATCTGCATCATAATTATCACGAACAATTTGTTGCGGTTTGGGGAAAATTTTAATTGCAGGAAAATTGCGATAAGGCCAAAGAAGAGACAGAGGGATTGAAGACTGAAGACCCAAAAGTCAAAAGACAGAAGACAGAAGAACGACAGCGGCAGCCAAGCGTGGTCAAGCATACGACAGCCACGCCCCTTAGGCCTCCGCCTTTTTGGCGACAGACAACTGACAGTTCAATGCGGCTGAGAGAAGAAGCCGAAGCCGAAGCGGAGAACGAATAATCGGCAGAAGAATCAGAGAAAGAACAGGGCGGAGAAGACAAATCAAAGGATATACGCAGCAAATAAAAACTATTTCATTTTAATGAATCAATTAGACGCAGAATTGCAGAGAAAATAAAAACAGCAAATAAATTTAAAAAGAAGCCAATAAGTCGTAACCCGCTCCTGACATTGACATTGGTTCTCATTGCATCTGCAACACAGGTAAATAATATGAATCGTATGGATCATATGAATAATTAACAGATATTAAACAACGATAGTTTTAGTGATACTGCACGTTAAGTTATTTAATTTACTGTTATTACCCTATTATTATTCAACCCAAATGGTTTCTCACCATCAAGCGGATTTTTAACGCAAAAGCCAATCAGGATTCTTGGTAGATGCATATTTTATGATGAAATTACTTAACATTTTGTAATGTCTCCAAGATCGAAACTTTGTATTTGTATCTTGTATCCTTTTAAATTTCGTTTTCTGTGCTTATCGATTTAATCGGTTCATCAGCTCTGCATCGATCTTATTTTAGTGCCCCCCACTGTCGCTCTTACATTTATCAATTGCATTTTCAAAGGACTGCTAAATCAATCAAACTATCAATAGGTACAACATCCAACCTACCCATTAACCAAACATTGAAAAACTATATTAAAGAGGAGAAAACTGAGGGTCTGCTGATGGTGGAACAGTTGGAGCCGTCTGAAAGGCAAAGCAATTTGTTGTGCCGCCAAAGTCGCCGGAAACTAATCGATATACAAGCAGTTGGCACCACTCAGCCGCAAAAAGGGGGCGTGGGTTGTTTGTGGGCAGGTGATGTGGTATGCAAAATGCTATGACGCAGTGGTAAAAAAGAAAAAAAGAAGGGGCAAACGGGGCGTAATCCCACTCAGAACGAAAGGAAGTAACCGCAGACAAATCGGGCAATAAAATAAAGTATAAAAGAAATACCCCCAAAAACTCCTACTTTCAACCCTATTAATAGATATTTGTGTATAAAGAGTCCGAGTCATCGTCTCTTTTTACCAGTAGCCATTATGCCCAAAACAACTAAAAAACTTGATTGGCTTAAATTGAACTCGACCACGCCCAGAACGCCCCCTGCATAGGACCTCCACCAAAAACTGCAGATAAGTTATATACTCGCCCTCTAAACCCCCTTTAAAATAACATTGATAAGCAAGTCTCCTGGATACAACTGTAATCAATTGAATTTTTAACGTAGTTAAAATACAGCATACGTGGACTTAAGATCGTTCAGTTGAACTGCGACTTTTGAAGGGGAAAAATATGAAGAGGAATACATATGTACATACATATATTTCATTTGCTGTAGAATCAGCAAAATCACCTTGCCTTTGCTGACCATTAAAAAGATATACACTACCAATGCCATTTTTGCTCTGTGCTAAAGATTTGTTCCTCTAGTATATAAACTGTATATTTTTTATTTAATTGAATTGATTTTATTTTTATTGGCTGAGACAGCTATCTGTCGATCACGGATTAAATGAAAGGAGAGAAGAGATAAATAAGCGTTACAGAAAAACAAGGATAGCGAGAAGACGACACCACGCGGGCGGAGATCACGAGATGCCCCACAATCTGCAACATTTGGCATCATTATAGAGATCTTTATACATACCAGGCACTATCACCTGCATCATTATCATCGAAGCCCCCAGTCTTATTTAAGCCAATTATTTTTAGGTAAAACTTTTCACTGCATACTTTTAGATGCCACCATAAAATCCGCAACTATTTGTTTTCTATCTGTATATCTTTTACTTAATTGTTGGGAAGACCTCAAAGTGCCAAGAAAATAAAAAAGATAGTAGAAAAGAAAAAACAAAAAACTAGAAAAGAAAATGTATGCAAGAATACAAAACACAAAATCGAAAAGGAAGAAGCCAGTTTGCCTAAAGAAATCAATACAAAGAGAGGTGGTCCTAGTCTCTTCCGCAGAAAAATGCTCTTTTATGCAGCTGAACAAACAAGTTTTAAATTCAAGTTAATAAAACACAAAATAAAATAAAGCGAAATAAAATAAAAGCAGGGGGAGGGGTAAATTGGCAATGAGAAACAGCTGAGCAAATGTTAAACGAAACTTTTCCATTACTGTATGTTTTGAAAATAGTAATACTAATCAGTTGTTAAATCGCTGTCAATTATATTGTACTGTGCAGTAATACAAAATTTTAAAGCTATTTTAATCATCATTGAATCAGATTATTAATAAAACCGGTCTGTGCTTCTAGAATAAAAATTTGTTTTTTTAATTGTTCCGAAATAATCAGAAGTAGAGGATGTGTGCAAATGCAAAAACAGGTAGCAGGGATTCCTTCCCGACTTTTTTTTCCTGACTTTCTCCTTAATATATAATGTGATAAAATGTATTATTGCCCCAAAAAAGAAGTCATGCTAAAAAGTTCGCTAAAACAAACCCTGAATAACCCCTAGTTTTACACAGCAAGGTTTAGAAAAACATATTTTTGCCATTTCAAATTTCAAACCAATAGAAAAAAATATATACACAAACTTGAGGCAGGGCAGGGTAGAAAAGAAATGAGGTGAGAGGGTGATCGAATGCAAAACAACAAGAAATAAAAATAAAAAACACCTCATTAGGACGACAGACACGCCTCCATTTGGTCACAAGTTAGTGAATTTAAGAATATTTTTAAACTTATACGTACAAGTAGGTATGTATGTATACACGGTACAAAAAATACATTTCACAAGCTGCTAAATATATGCATGTTGTGGGGCTCTAATATTTTTGGAAGTTTTTTGCTCTGTCATCCGTTTTATGAGACGAGCGCGTGATTGTCGAGCGTTAACAAAAATACAAAAATAAAAAAATAACAACAACTAACAACGCCTTATCTCTGCTCCCGAATTCTTAATTCCTTCCAACCTCCCCCTTCGAAGCGGTCGGTCTATATATATATTTTTATATAAATGTGGCTGTATAAAATCAGAGCTGTAAGGAATATAGCCGCTAGCCTCTTGATCTTTTTACTGCTGATCTCTGATCATGCAAGCAGCATTAGCTATAGCTCGAACTTGAACCTTACACAGAGAAACAACCATTTTACCAATGATATGAAATGATATTTCTTAAAAACAAGTATAACCGACTTATGTTTAAAACTTTCATAAGAAAATTCCCATAAAGAAAGAATATGACTTAAACTAAAATCATATATACAAATTAATATCATTAGGTTCTGTGCTAATATATTAAAATAAAACTGTTTATTTACTTAAATATCAACGTATTTAATTTTTGTCTGTGTACATTTCTGATGTATTTATAAAATATTTCTCCCTGTGTACCTTTATCATTTGCTAATAAGCTCTGTCGGCTTTCTTATCAGTCAGCATCTGCCAAAGCTGCAAATCACTTATACGACTTACCGGATGGGAACTGAGACATCAACTTAAGCTGGGGATGATGTGAAGAGGATGAAGATGAAACTGAGGTGACAAGCACGTTGTGACACAGTGCCTTCCATAAAGAACACTCATAATAAGGGGATTGTTACTTTTCGCACCGCAACGTTAACGCTTCGATAAGCTCCCGGGCCAAGATTCCAAAATGATGCAACTGACAACAAGTTAACAATATATATATTACATTCGTAATACCTAAATATGGCTATTTGCATTTTAGTTATCCAATTGTAATAGGATCTTGGAACAAAGGGATAGAAATAGTATTCTATGATATACAAAATAACTGACTATAACAAAGAAAAACTATCGAATGACAAGTATTTGGATTATGATGAGAATACTTGGTTTATTTTCCACCACTAAAATGTAATCTAAATATTTAATCGCATTCTTGGGGTTTTATTTATTATATCTATAATCTTTTCTGAAAAATTTCCGGTCACTTTTTGCGCACTTGTTAAGTCATGTCGTAAATCTCAGGTTAAGTAATATATATTTAATCCAAAGTTTGCTAGTCACAAAGTATAATGTTCAAATGAGTAGAGGTGAAGAAATCAAAATCAGGTGGCGTAAGTGAGTGCTGTTGCCCTGGTTCTGCCATCTCTTTTTTCTGGCTCCCGGTCTCTTTCTTTCGCCCCTCCCTAGATTCTTCTTATCAACGACAAATGCAACAACAGAGAAATATGGCCTGTTATAGAGCACGGACGAGAATATTCCGCTTTTCCTTATCGCCTGTCAACTGCTTTCCACAATAAAGCCAAGATCACATTTTGTATGACAATAAAAGGGAGAATACGATCACAAATGTAAGTATAAGTTTGTATATATCCCTGAGCGTTTCCGCCTGAGTATAATCCCGCTGCTCATTTATCGCAGCAAAGAAAAACCTAGACAAAGCTATCAAGAGTGCATTCGTTCATTGACCACACTTCTATATAGGACAGCAGTTAACAACAAAATTTTATTTTTAAAGGAAGTTGTTGAGAAAAATGTTATGAAAATATCATAAACAATCTTACATAATTTTTTTCATTGACTAATGAAGGAATTTTCACTTCCCTCACCCGCAGCGAAAACTTTATCACTTTCCTATTAATCTTCAAAAAATTTCCGTAACCATACATACCCCAAATAAGAATACTTATCTATGTGTGTATATGTGTGTGTACGTAGAACAATCTCACCCGATACGATAACCCTCAGGAGTTTTGAGGAATTTGTGTTCCCGTTGAATCAACACTTACCTACAAATAGAAGAAAGAAAATGGCAATTTTTAAAAATCACAGTTTAAAACAATTTATAAGATTTTATGGTACTTGGTTTTACAGGAAAAGTCTATTGGAAATGTTAAGTTCTAGAAAAATCCATAAGGATGTTATAAATGACAAGGTTTATGAAGTGCAGTATACAAATATCTCAGTACTTTAATTAAAAAATAAATAATATTATAGATAGTGACTAGTGACTATAATCAGTTAGTTAATACTTGAAGCCCTACGAAACACCGAAACAAATACGTAAAAAAAAGTTAATATATATAAGGTATTTTTTTACAACGAATTTTATTCAAAAAAATGATTCCTTAGGAAGTTTTTAAGTGTTGGAACAAGTGCTTTTAAAACAACTAAACCAATTTAATTGAACTCTAAACATATCAGGGGTACCACAGAAATCGCATACCGCTAAATTCGCTTAGAATCTATATTGTTGCCCATAAGACACCCACTCCAACTCAGCGGTAAGCCTTTTCTGTGGGACCCCTATGTCATTTTAAGTTGTTTTCCAGCTGCATTCAATATATAATTCACTTGAATTATGATTTCACTAATTTAATATTTATTTAGGAATGGTTAAAGTAGTGTCATTATTATTATTATGTATTGTGTGTTGAAATTTTTTGTAAGAGCTCGCTTTCTGTCATAAACAAAACTAGTCTCTTAGGAATAACGCATTGTATATAAGTGCCACAGAAATCTACTAGCGCAAAATTAGCATTAAATGTATATTGATGTAATAATTTCAGAGCTGCGCGATTTTTGTGGCACCCCCAAAATATTTTACCTAGTATGTTTTTGAACTTTTGCACCACTTTGGTCCAACTGACGCAGGACTGAGTTCTGGCCAATTTGGCAGTCTTAACGTTCTCGCCACTCTCATCGCTGTCCTCATCTGCGTAACCTTCGAGATCTGGTTCGGCTCCTTGCTCGATATCTCCGGTGTCCTGCGACTGCCGATCGTTTTTAGGGCGGGTGGTGATTGTGGTTGAATTGCTCTGGGGAATTCTATCGTAGTGGTTGTCGTGGCTGTGGCGGCGCATCTTAACTACACCGTTGTCCATGTGGCTGTTGGCATCCACGTCCTCTTCTACATCCACATCGATATGGTGATCATCATGGAGATGGCTAGGGGGATTGGGTACCGAGTTATGTTTGCTCCTAGAGCTAGTATCACAGTGTGGTTGTTGCTTATAATCATCTTTGGTCTCATCCACCACCGCACCGCTGGCAGCCAAATTGGATGCCACGGTGGTGTTTCGCTTCTTGCGCTGCTCCTCGCTCCTCCTTTCCCTCTTCATCATTTGTTTCTGCTGCTTGGCAAGCAGCTGTTTCTGCTTGCGGGCGAACTTCTCCCTCAACTTGGGGCTGCCAAACTCGTCCAGGTAATACATGGTATCCTGGAGGCCGTCCTTGCGATTGATCAGCTTGGAATCAATGTGCGGATCCTCGCTGATCTTGAGCAGGGGAAAGTATATGTGGCCGTCGGTGGCGAGACTCTTGGCATCGCGACGACGAGCTATGGCCGCTGCCACTGTTAATTCCGCCTGATCGGGTGGCAGTAATCGGTTCTTGGGTTTAACATCCACCTCCCTTGCCGCCTGCTCCTCCTCCCCCACCTGTTGCTCGGTCTTGCTCTTGAGGTTTATTATAATACCCGACTGACTGTCAGATTGGTTGTCGTTGTCGGCCTCCTCGACATCGTCGTCCACATTGACGCCATCGTCCTCCTCCTCGATTTCCACGTCATCGCAGTCAACGTCATCATCACAGATTTCTACCTCATCGATGCGATCCTCCACATCGAATCCCTGGGTCCCGGTGCTATTGGTACTCTTGTACTTGATGCGGCTTCGCAGGATGTTGTTAGCCACATTACTCGCACCTACGACAGTGGGATTGTCCACACTGCTGAGCTCTAGAGCGGAAGAGGCTCTTACTCTCTGCTGATCCTGGGTCTCGGAACAATTGCTGCCTAGGCTTTCGCTGCTGCTGTTCGATTGCTCCCCGCTCTCCTTGGAGCCTATGGCGTTATGGCTCGGTTTTCCTTTTCCCACACCCTGAGTATCCTTGGCTTTCGATGGACGGGTCGTGACGCCGTTTTCGATGCCGCTATCTTGACTGAGCAGCAACTGCTGCCGATGCTGCTTCTGCCGCCACTTGCCGCCAGGTGGCACCTGTGGCAAACTCAGCGAGCCACTGCTACTGCGAGGTGGCGGCAACTGCAGTTGCTGCTGCGATGCACTGGAAACAATTACGCCACTGTCCGCCGAACCTGTCGATGTTTGCGATGAGAAGCGCTCGTTCAGCGGTATTTTAATCGGCTGGCTTATCGCGTTGTTATTATTAATGTTTAGTGCATTATTTATATTATTATTGCTGGCGGGCAATAAATTGAGAGCTGGTGCAGCTCCTGCTGCCTGCGTTGTGGTTGTTGTTGCCATCAGGTTTTTAATGGTCTGTTAAATACTCTAGGCGTTAGAGTATTTTGTTTGTTGGTTCTTTTAAGTTTATTAGGCGCCTTAGGTAGCACAGCTTAGTAGGCTGTTGGTTTAGGGTTTAAAATCACTCCTTTTTATATTTTTCTAGCTTGTCTTGGCGCTTCACAGTCACATTGCCTGGTTTTTATTTTAAAAAACTAATTAGACCTTGATTATGATTTGGTTACACCAATTTTTGATTTTTTGAATGCATTTTCAAAAACTTGTTCAAGTTTTCTGGCTAAATTTAGCCCAGCATTGCGGTTTGTTGATTTGGACACCGTAAAAAATACACAGAAAAGCCAAACAAAAACTTTTCAAATTTAAACACACTCACACGAAACAAAAACAAAAAATAGCAGTGAGAGAGATCTTTGTGATTTTCAATATTTAAGTGTCTATTTTGGTAAATTATTCGCGTTGTCTGCTCCGTTTTCTCAGCGTGCAGCCCGCCTTTGAGTCTTTGAGTTTCGCGACTGAGAGCTGCTCGAGAAACCTAAACGAAAACGGCCACTCAAATTTTATTATCGCTGACGCACACACACATCTGTTACAACACACGCAAACAAAACGTAAGTGTCGGCAAAACGTAAGCCACCGTGAGTGCCAGTAAAAAGAAGGGAGATAGCCTCAGCGTAAGTGTCAGTGAATAAGGGAGATGCAAGATCTGCCGGGGAACGGCCGAGAACGAATGAGCGAACGAATGGCAATGAAACACTACGCAAGCACGCAGTGAATGAGAGAGATGGGAAAGAATAAAAGAAAGAGAGGGCCAACGGATGGAGAGTTACCTTCCCTCAGGTGTAACGTTTGACAATGAAACACCTGCAAAGAGCGACACAACGGAATGGAACGCAGCTGCTATTCTGGGACTAACCGAAAGATGATTAGCTTCTGAAGCTCGTTTTCCTTTTGTTCAACTTGCTCCAGAGCCCTAATCTTATCACTACTTTAAAATGGCTTTTTATCAGCATTAAAAATACTACCCCTAAAACCAAAAAAAGAAACCATAATAAACCAATAACAAACTTTTTATTTGTTTATGGGTATTTTTTTCGCGTGCGGGCCTATTAATTTACAACTGCACATATTTATCAACAGTGCTTAATATTAAATCAAAAAGACCAAAAATGTAAATGAAGGGGGGTATAGTCTTGAACTTTTGAATTTTATTTATTTTACTTAACGGACTAAAACTTTTAAAGATATGCAAGTTGCGTTGGAGTAAATGGATGGAGTCAATGGATGGGGGGGGATATCCAAAAAAAATTGTAGAGCAGAAATTCGAAATTGGGAATAAAATACATATTACATATACTTTTTAACCCGAGTGGGGGGATGATCTATGCCCATATCCTGCCGTGGATCCGCGCATAAAGCAAAAATGATCCTAATAAGATTGTCAACGTATCATACTTATTCTGTACTTAAACAATGGATAAAGAAAACATATGGTTAATTGACTAGAATAATGAAATGTTCTTAAAAATCATCATTTCAAGAAAAACGCATTTAAAGGTTTCAAGTTGATTTGGTAATCTGTGAAAATCGCGTTATAGAGTTAAAATGATTATCACAGTATTTCAGTCTTTTCAATAACCCATATCGCCAAATATTATTTAGTGAGCCATACTAATAAATCGCTATATACATATACATGTATTGATAATATATTTATAATACCGTACAGTTTCTGCAAATAAAGTAGCATTACAAAAATCAATGGCAAATTGATACTCAGTTGCACGGTGAAGTAATCTGCGTCGCCTAATTGATGTTATTACTATTTACCAATTGGTACCATACCACCTAGACCGATGCAATCGAATCGGTTTTATGGAGCTACCACGCGAAAGTGTTTGAAAACAGAGGACAACGCCACATTACTGCAAATTAGAGGAGTGTCCCAGTCAAGTTGAAATGAAACTGAACCGTTAACCAAGAAGGGTACTACCCAAAGAACAACGGTAAACGTATAGAAGGTAAACATCAGCACAAAAAAACACTGGTCAGCAGACAGTGCGCAATAGACCAAAGGCAAGCCCCATTAAATCAACAACACAATTATTGCATGAGTCTCCGTCGTCTCCGTCCGTATGTAAAATCTCCCTATACGGAACGGCGTTCAGTTCGGTTTCAGGTTGAAAGCGGTTTTGCAGACGATGACAAGTGTCCAACAACGGGGCAGGTTGGCGATAGGGGCCGGGCGGTGCAGGGAATTACATAGGGTGCTTAGGTCAGTTTGTTGGCTTAGTTGGTTAGGTCATGCTGTGGCGCAAAACTAAAAGAAACGGGGAAATAACAATAAAGAAGCAGAAAAACGAACCCGAGCTAGTTGGGGGATGAACTAACAAAGCAAACTACTGCCCGACCGCTCCCAGTGCAACAGGGTGACGCAGTTTCGACAGGAAAAATGAAATGAAAGACCACTTCTTAAGGCATATTAAACATCTAAAAATTAGATAGTTTTTAATAAATGTCTTGTTTTTCCTTCTATTTCCTTAGATTATCCCAACTAAACATAAAAATAAAACTCCTAGCCCTAGTATGGTTATTCCGCCACTGCGTCCGACGGCTTACATTTTTATCGACTGCATTAAGTTTGAGGCAAAGCCCCAAATCTTGTTCTTGAATTGGAAAGTCACATTGCTGTGTGCATATCATCTCTCTCTTGTTTCTATTTATATTTTAACTCTGTATTTTAAACTTTAACAACGTGCATTTCTCTTCTAAAAAAAAAATTTAATGGACATTACAATAACGAAATACATATGTATGTATGTAGGTTCTTACTGTTCACTAGATTTACAAATAACCTCTGAATCTAGAGAAGTCCACCAAAAAGTATCACAAAATAATAGTGAACTTTCTTGCTCTTTTCCCATTCGAATAGCCATTAACTATTTAATGACATTTTCATTTGGCGCCAGGTACCCAGTCTGCACTGCTCCCCACGTGCCTGTGGGTTTTAGTTTTGAGTCAACTTCCATTTAAATAGCAAATGAGTTGGGGCTGGGCCTTAGTGTCGGGGTTTCCAGTGAAAATGAAAGCCGGTCTGCGGCTTTGCTGGGGGGCCCGTGAGCCTAGCTGTTGTGTTCTTGTTTACTTGGTCTTGAACTTGCATGTCGATAATGGGCTCTGACATTTTCCGTGGTTGGTATTACTAAAAGTGGTAATTGCGCCAAGACATGTTTTTACAGGCTATTTTTACCGGCTGGGAATTATTGATTCCGAATGTTAGAAAAATGTCAAAGCCAAACCTGTTTTCCCCACTCGTTTCATGCCCCTTTTTTGGGGTCTAGGCTATCGAACAGAATTGCGACTATAAATAAAATTAGAGGCGGCGTTTGACACCAAAAGCCAAATAAAATAAGCAACAACCAAAAAATTCAACCGTAGAACAGAAACGAAAACCCAAAAATACATCGAATACACCGCCTGTTGCTTACACAGCAGCACCATCTGTTGTCCACTTCATCAACCATATGAAAGTGAAAGTGAAATTACGAGCGCGTAGAAGAGAAATAAACAGAACAAAAGAAAGTAAAAAAATGTATATAACAGACAATATAATATTTGCATTTCATTTGGGAACAAGAAAAGAGGAAAATCATTTAAGAAAGAACCTCAGGAAATTCGCGCATCTATTTACCAAACACTTAAGAATACCAAAAGTCCGCAAATAACCAGCTTAAAGTGGAAGGTTTTCGGATGGTACACAAAAAAGGAACGCCTCCAAATCCTCGACTATAAAATACAAAATCATTCGGACGGACGGAAACAGCTACGTTCCTAATCAAGAACATATTTATTTTATAGGGTCGAACACACTTCATTTTACCTGTTACACCCGACGAATATAATACTCTACAAGGAACGGGTATAAAAAGCAGCTTGTGCATTGTTATCACTATCCTCGCACTTCCATCGTCAGCTGCTAATGACCGAGTCGGCAATCAATAATTAGAGCGGACCAAGGCAATTAACCCATGACTACACCTCAAATTCGATCCACATCCAAAAGGCATATGACTTCGATAACAACGGTTTCAGCACACCGATAGCAAAAACGTAAAATAAACACAAACCGGTTCAAGGAGGAAACTGAACAAATAACACAAAATACAATTATGATTATGTTTTAAGGTTTAATTTATTTGTAATGCTTATAAATTGCTATAAATAACATAAGTTGGTACTGCAAGATTTACCGCTGCTGTTTGGTTGCGACTTGCGTGAAAAATCGATAAAAAGGAAACAATGACACATGAACTACAAAGGAAAAATTATACACAACAAAGGTATAAGCACAAAGCCGTCGAAATGCTAAAATCCCTGAGGCAAAAGGAGGCGTACAGTGGAAATTTCAAAGGGGGTAAAGCGGGACAGTCCGTAGGAAAAACGAGGAAAATATTACAAAGGAGAGGTGACTGAAGAAAGATGAGAGAAGGTGCCAAAGCCAGCGATTAGTCAATGCCCAACCCTGCTTGCAACCCCCAACCAATTACCACCCACACCTAGGATAGACGGAAACAAGAACTGCCAAAAACTGGTAAAAACCGAAACGGCACACTCTTAACAGTCCACTCAGCGTTTACAAAAAATAAATGGTAAATATTCCTAATACTCGTCTTACAGCAAATATATAAATTCAGAAATAGATATAAATAAATATATGCAAATTAATACAATCAATATTCGTTGATTAGGTATCGGTGTGTGCGTTTGCTCGTATTATTAGAGCAGTAATTACACGATTATTAAATACTTAAACACTTACATATATGACAACAATGTGACATATGGAAAACAAAGAAACTTGAAGAATACACAGACATCTCAGTTCGAGTCTTTTTCCTTTAAATTTAAAACCAACAACAATTTATTCCTTTCTTCAATAAGGGTTTACGACAAATGGAAAAAATTTCAAGTCAAGATTATATAAAAGCAACAGAACTTCTTTAAAGGAACCTTGGTTTGAGCCAGAGCCATAATCTTCAGGCGTTTACTAGAATTGCCCAACACCATGTATTTCATAATCAAATGACCAATTAAATAATACGAAATTTCGTGTGACTTATTTCATTCAAATTCCCACTCATTTAAGATTCACTTTCAGCCTTTAGCCAATCACTCATCCTCGCAAATTACGACTAACAAAAAATCGACGGATGGTGAGTGGGCTGAATGTCAAAATTATCGCAAAGCTCATACCCTAATTGTCGAATGGCCTTGCTGCTATTGGGCGGAAGTGGGATGGACTCGACTACTGCTAAAACCACACGTGCACAACGCAATTCATGCCCGAATCTTATCAGCAAATAAAAAAGTAACAAAAACAAGAGTTCAAGCAAATTGCCTAATTAATCAAAAATAATATAAAACGCTTAGCCAAACGTGAACTTTGGTCGTGTATGTGTTAAGTACTTTTCCCTGTTTGGAACAAAGTGAAATGGAACTAGAAGTTGAATT